ATGCTTCAGAAACTGGATGTCTTTCTTACCAGTCGTGCCTGAGAAAAGGGAATTTCAGCAGAGAGTTCCAGCGATGGAAACTACGCAGTTTTCTCTAACGGTCCCCCGAGTGGTTCCCATTCTCAGGCACGGTCACTGAAGAAAATATATCCAGTTCGTGAAACATGTGTCGTAAAGAAACTAAGACGATGTGAAATGCCCAGCAAATTAAAATGCACGGTAGCGAATGTTCGTCAAAACATTCACAAATAGTAAACAAATAAGAAAACGGATTGTCTACATGAGACGAGTTGTTTGTGAGTTGACAGGCATATATTTGCAAGAGTTGTTTACGTTACAGGCTCATAGGCGCTATCTTTCTAAGGAGAAAAAGTCTGATAACAAGGACTAGAAGCGCATTCTTTATTTCAAGTAAGAGTTCTTTTACTTCGGTGGGAATACACAGCTCCACGAATTTTTCACAGTTTAATGAAAAGAAGGAGAATTGTTTTCCAGAACATTCCAGTGTTCTTATATCTTTTTATATTAACTGCAATTCTCTAGTTTTAGATAATTATTTTAAATTCAGTTTCGTGTAAACTCTTGTGAATATACAGTATGCGCCAAAATATTCAGTACTGGAATGAAAACACGTCATGTTGATACCACTGTCTCCTCATGTGAAGGCCCCTTGCATGACAGAACCTTCTCAAATCCTGAAGAAACGGTCCGATCATCATGTCCCTGTAATGTTCTTGGGTGACGGTAAGAGCATTGCCTTCCTCATCCTCAATGAAATAGGGGCCTAATATACCGTGTGCTGAGTCGGCACACCATATCGTCACACGCGTACTATGTAGCGGTTTCTGGACGATAACATCTGGCCGCTCAAAACCAAGGAAGCGAGTTGTCTGGCGACCACTTCCGTATGAGCGGAAATAATACTCAACTATGAATACTTTTTCCTCCGTCGAGAGACCCATTTCCAACAACAAATGCACAACACAACTTCCTTTTCACTACTGGGAACACGTGCGGCTTGATCTATGCCCCGTCGACAAACGCACATGCGCGTTCGAGATGCGCGAGTTTCAGTACTGTAATTTGGCGCATACTGTACTTGTGTCAATTGCTGTAAATATAATTTTATGTTATACAAATACGTATGTACCGCTGTGTTCATCAAATGTTGACGCATGAAAAATAAATCTTACAAAATATGTATTTTAAATTACTTCGAATGCCGAAAATTATCGTTACAAGCAATTGGTATACAATAATGTTGTCACAGAATGTTCGAATTCATATGCACAGATATACAAAAAAATAATATTTTACATAGCCATGAGGTTGCAAAACAATATTTTTAGCAAGTATATTTTAGCACAACTTTCAAAACTTTGTAAATAGTCTTATATGCTGATTAACCTCAGAACCACCATTTTTTTTTTCGTTGCAGAGCGATATGTATGGTGGCAGGTGGTAGAGGTGCTGTCGCCCCACACTAACAAGGCGATGCGGGAGCTGCACAGCCAACTGGAGGAACAGATTCTCGGTTCTTCACATACATCTTCCAGGTTACAATCTCTCTGAATTAATGGGCACTGAAATTCCTTACAGTACACTCTCAACTATCCATGCCAAAGTAGGGAAGTCAAACCACGAATAATCTAAAAACACGGATAATCCAAGATACTTTATATTTCGCTGCAATATGTATGTAGCGATTTACATTTCAGATGCGTGCAGAAACGCGCGGAAGTCTTCGTGTAAAATGGACGTTAAAATTGTCCGATCTAAATCAAAATTGTAATGGCCCGATATTTTTTTTTCGTTAAATTCTCCGATACCAAATTTCACGAAAATCTGTGCAGCGGTTTTCGAGTTGCTTCACGCAAACAGATAGCTGGACGGGACGAACTGGGAAATTTTAATAGATTCTTCCCAGCGTTAGTAAAGAGCCTAAAAGTGGTGCACGGATAGGCCTCAAATCGGATAATCTGGCACACCGATAATCGGGAATATGGTGTAAATAGTGGGAATATTGGAGTGGAAACGCGTAATTCAATGCAGTAAACACAGACCTATCATCTAAATATGTTCTCCGTGGATTTACATACGCCATAGGTCCCGTTCTTCTTCTTCTACATCGTCTTCTTCTGGCTTTATGGCCTTTTTAATTTAGCCTTCGCCTCCCTTAGAATTACCGTCCATTCTTTTCTTCCTTGATGTTATTGCAGATACAAATACGTGTATATTGTTCAAAACTCGGTGACTCTAGAGACTCCACACCAAAGAGAGTAGGTAAATATCTCGCCTTTGTTATCCGTATCGAGTAAAAGCATAGATACCACTGAGTTTCATGTTTTACGCCACGTAGAGGTAAAAGGTAAATAACCTCTTTATTATATCCGTCACAACACAACTAATATCAAGATTAGACCATTTTCGGCCCTGCTACATATTTCGGCTATTGATAGCCATCATCAGGCAAACACATGATTTACACACATATACACTGAAAACACTGACAAAACTAATGAACACCATATATGCAAGTGGAGAGTGGCCCAAGGACTTTACAGAAGTTACAATGATTGCCTTAAAGAAAAAGACAAAAGCTACAAAATGCAGCGACCATCGCACAATAAGTCTTATTGCACATACAGCAAAGATAATAGCAAAGATACTTAAAAGAAGAATTGAAAGGAAAATAGAGGATGTACTTGGAGAAGATCAGTTTGGATTTAGAAGAGGAAAAGG